AACCCGATTGCCTCGAGGAACACCGCTACCTCTCGTGGTGTCATCGGACATACTCCTTGTCGCCGTCTTTCTTCACCATCGATGTGCTTTTCCTTCCAGTGTCGGACGCTACGTCGCAATTGCAGTAGCTCGTCGTCTTCGGCTTTGCTTAGATTGTGACTGCAGCCAGTGAAGGCAAGCATGTCCTTTTCATATCTGCACACAAATTATCAGTTAACAAATTATAGTCATCACTAAATGTTTAAAGTCTAGGGTTTAGTGGTTTTTTTACCTTAAATGAAGAGCAATGTAAGGCTTATTATCGGCCCTGAGCCTAGTAATCAACTTATAGGCAAGTTCTTCGATTTCGTCGGTGAATTTAAGCGCTTCGTACATGGCACGGCAACGGAGCCTCTGAATAGAGTTCGGAAGGCCATTGTTAGCCAATCGGCTGTCGGTGTGGGTGAAGTTAATCACCTTATGTTTCTTTAGCAATGAAGACATTTGATCTCTGTAATAGCTAGCCTATATATACAAAGAAAGGGTATTCGATTAACACCGAATCTTAAATCTTAGATTGAATTTATTCGAAGATTAACCTATACCTTAGAGTAAGAAACTGGGGCTCGTTCAAGAGCTTTAATTGATGCATAGCCTGGTGGGAGACGATCAACAATACGTATATCCTCTCGCAGATACTCAACGAAGTGTTTCCAGTCAAATATGTCTTTAAAATCACTGCACAAATCACTTGAATGAGATGCACATTATATTTATTTTCACTTAATTTTTCATTTTTTAAAATAAATAAACCCATTTATTAGTAATTGAAATCAACCTTGGATCGGTCCAAAAAGAATTGTGGTCTAAAGATGGGAGAACCAAAGTGGCATTCATCACTTTTGCAATGGCAACCATATCACTTATCTGCAGATAAATTCATATTAATTAATAAATAAGAAAATATATCCAATAAATAAAAGAAAATAAATTTAAAAAAAATACCCCGGTTTTCATTTGATTCAGTCCGCCGTTGGAATGAACAAGAAGATAACCATTTGTAGGGTACGCTGAAAATAAGAAAACCAATAGTATTACAAAAACAGCCCAAGCAAAAGAAATTATATAAAAAAGAAGAAGAAGAAGAAGAAGAAGAGTGAAGAGTAATTAATTTAACTTACTTTTTTCATTAGCTGATCTTTGAACACATTTATAGTACGAATCGGAAGACGGCTTGGTCCAAATATCAGGTATCTGACCATGCAAAAAATAAATGATTTAAATATAAGGTTATTAAAAATGATTCGTTTATTTTTTAACTCCGGGTGATGAAAACGCAGCATTAGATATGATAATGAAAAAAATAATTGAGTAACCAAAACATAAAGTTGTGAATAGGTTAATGACTAAATATGTAGTTTTACCCTTACATAATATGTTAAATAGTTTGGTTATTAAGTAAAGTCTTAACGTTTCTAACCGTGGGCAAGGATGGCGGAATCTGCTGGATTTCGGAAATAATAATATAATTGTCTCCTTCATTAATAATTTTGTTTGTCCTAATAGAAATTTCGAACGACCTTTCTGCAATGATTCTATCATGATTGATCTTCAAGTCCCGGAGGGTGTTCAACAAAGCAAACTTTACGAGCACGGTCATGAAAGCCAACGTCACCAACCCCCAAAACATGCAAATAAACAAGTACCTCCCGGGGCTCGAAACATCCGGCCAAAACCGAACTCTCCGGCGGAAAAACATCGAGCTTCTCATCGGACACGCATTGCCGTCGCCCGACTCGAAGACTCGTTTCCTCGCCGGAGGAATCATCTGCTATACTCGTTACCGAAATGGTTAACATATTTATACGAACACAGCCGTAAAAAACAAAACATCAATGAACAAAAGGTTCCTTCAACTAAATCCGTTTGAAAAACGAAATGGGTTTTACGGTTCGTTGTTTGTGAGTGTTTTTTTGTTGTCAAATGATTTGGCATTGTTGTGGGAATTTTGTTTTTTAGGAAGAAATGCGAAATCAGAGGCGAAGCCACCTCTTTGCTTCTTATGTATAATTATTTTTCGCCTATTTTTAGATATTGGTTTGTTAATTTTTATTTTTATAATTATATCATAGGCTTTTGTTATTATATTTCCAGATAATTGAAGCTCTATTTGTAACAACCCGACTATTTACAAAATAATATTAATTGAAATTGGAGGTAAATTGTGAAAATGGGTGAAATTAAGTGACTAAAGTATAATTTATGAAAATTTGTATGTCATTTTCGAAGTAAAGAAAATTCAGGGACCAAGCCTTGAATTTCCCCTAAAAATGTATGCAGGTTTGGTTATAACTTAACGTGTTTTCTGATTTCAATCAGAAAACACAAAAGCTTTTCTTAAACTTTCACTCCTCCCGTACCTCGACTTTCAAGTCCGATTCCGACGCTGTTCGACATCCGATCATCAAATTGAAACCACCATCGTGTTCGTTATCGAGTCAGGAACAATCCCCTTAAATTAATTGAAGTGAAACGCTGCTAAACGTCGGGAATTTCAAGTCAAAACATCAACATTTTTTTTTAACTCTATCGCCGAGAAAATCTCAAATTCACCGCCGATCGTTGCTCAGTTTACGACACCTCCTACACCATCGTGTTCCTTGTGTCGTTTCGAGTTCACCGGTGTCAACCTTGTCCGCCGTCGACGGTGGCGCGTGAGGAGGTGGTGCAGTCAAAGATTCGGCCGATTTGAAATCGAGCTCTCCGCCGTTCAAAAATTTGAACCGATCGTTGTAAGTATCTCGAAATCGCTCAAAATAATTTTTAGACAATTTTCTGGGATTTTTAGGGCCTCGGATGACGCCTCACGCGCCACACGCGCCGCCGCAGGGAGAGTGGCTACTGGAAACCGGTTTAACTGGTTTTCAACCGGTTCTGACCGGTTTCGACCAGTCTGACCCGACCGTTGACCCGACCCGACCCGACCGTTGACCCGACCCGACCGTTGACCGTTGACCGTTGACTTTCTTTGACCAAAACTTAAAATGGCTTTGACCGAGCATTAAACGACCGTTAATCTTTTCCGAGTATACATATCCTGATAGTTTTCGACGTGCTGAATCCGTTTCCGCTGTCCGTTTTGTCAAATTCGAACCCGAAGGCCTCCAAATTGACGGTCAAAGTGGTTGACTTTGACTTTAACCAAGAATCTGAATTTTCGAAAAGTCATATTTTATGTTTTTCGACGTCCTGATTCCGATTCCACAATCCGTTTTGCCAAATTCAGACTCGAAATACCCCAAATTGATAGTCAAACCCGAAAAATACTGATATACTTAAGAAGTCTAGTTTTGAACAATTAAATAGGATTTGGGACTGATAGATTATTATTGTTTGAAGGTATAAGAGACTCTCCGGATCGTTCGACAGCTCGACCCAGCTCTTCTAGATCAGTTAAACCACGTGTGCCATTATTCACGCGTTCGAAAACTGTAGCAGAGCGTGGTGAAACCAGCAATCAGTAGATTTGCTATTTGAACCTATTGTCGAGGTGTGTTCCCTACTTATTACTGAACTGTTTTATTGGTTTTAATATGTGGTACACCGAATTCATTGGTTATTGTTTTATGGATGCACCAATTTTATGTGACAATTTATGGAATATGGCTGCTATCTAATTTTTGTTTTGAAATGGTATATGATTACAATGTTTTTGGATTTATGGAATTTATGTCACGATGCAATTGAATTTTGGAATTGTATTACGATGGAATAGCTCTGATCAAGCTAAATGGGCCTAATGTGACTCTTGAGGGCCCCAAGATGTTTCATTAGGTCGGCTTTCCTTTGCTGTGTGCTTAGGGTAAGCTATATGAACTTATTGACTTGTGCTTAAGGATACAAGCTTCAGAGCCTATCCTTAAGTCGGCTTTCTTTTTTCTATGTGCATAAAGTAAACTATATGAAAAATAATTTTAGGAACTACTGATGGTGTACCAGAAAAGGGTTTAAACTATGATTTTCAAAAGTTAAACTCTTTTACGAATTTGTGAGATTACTGGACTATGATTTGTACCTATTGTGATTTTATAGAAATATTGGGACACACTGAGCCTAGCTCACCTTTTGAAAATGTTTTCCCCCTTTTAGATACTGTTGGTTAGATACCTCGGTTCGAGCACTTGGAGGATCAACATATCTCTTGAAGTAAAATCAGATTGTAATGTTTTTATCTTGCAAGTTGACTTTATTTTGGTGATATGGACCTTATTTTAAAATATCGGATTTTATAATGATGACTCTTTTGCTATTACTGCTCGGTTTATTGTGATTTTGAATTTGAAGACATGTTTTAAATTAAATTATTATTTATTAGTACTATATTTACGAGTTGGATTTTGATAGTATAATTTGTTTATAATTTCATGTTATTTATAATGTTATTTTATATTGATGGAATAACGGTTTCGGAAAATGTCTTTAATAATCATAATGTGATCCACTAGACTTAGTCGAAACGCATAGACCGGATCTAAGGGGTTACACTATTTGTCGAGTAAAAAGTTAAAATAGAAATTTAAGTGTTGGGAGCAGTAGTTTTACGTTTTTAGTTGGTTAAACACGTTTAATTAGCATTGTTTTTCTCAATATATTTCCTATGTTTGCTCAAAATTGATTATTTTCTTTATTTCTGCCTATTTCGGCTGTTCATTATTTGGGTAAAACCAGGTTAAATTGAATATATTTTTTATTAATGGACTCGTGATAAAAATAAATTTAACCAATTATTTCAAAATAAATTTTAAGAGTTTATACGATTATTATTTTATTTAAATATATATTTGATATTTAATTAACTTATCTCAATAATTATTGTCGGACGAATGTAACAAATTTTTTCATCACACACGGTTTAAACCGCCTTAGTTGAAAAAAAATATTCTGCAAATACCGTCTACTAACCAAAAAAAATTCAACACATCGTCCAAGCAATTTTGCCCACAAAACCCTAGAATTTTAAATCTCCGTCCACCTTCACAGCAACAGTCAATCAGTAGTGAGGCCAGCTCTGCAAAGTTAAAAAAACGAGTCACAACTCACTAGTTGAGTTGAATCCATTTTGTTTTCTTTCACACAAATGACGCGAATTTTATTCTATTATTTATTGTCGGTTATTTAGTCCCCAAAATCGCGTGTTCCAAAACTACCACAGCGCCCGTCATCTCCATCCATTGCCCTAAGCCAAGCTTTCACGCCGTCGGTGATGTTCTCCCCTCCGCCGCTGAAATCGATTTTATAAGTCAATTTCTTTGATTATCCCATTTTTTTCATCGATTTTGTCCAGATCTGATTCAAAGATGGCGGCGGCGAGGCGGTTACGGGATCTCCAATCACAGCCGGGCAACAAAACTTGCGTAGACTGTAACCAAAAGAATCCACAGTGGGCTTCGGTTTCCTACGGCGTTTTCATGTGCTTAGAATGCTCCGGCAAGCACCGCGGCTTAGGTGTCCACATCTCGTTCGTCCGATCCGTTACAATGGATTCGTGGTCCGACATCCAGATCAAGAAAATGGAATCCGGTGGTAACGAGAAGCTCAACTCCTTTTTGGCACAATACGGTATTCCTAAAGATTCCGATATCGTTACCAAGTATAACACTAACGCCGCGAGTATCTACCGCGATCGTATCCAAGCCCTAGCCCAGGGCCGTGCCTGGAGGGATCCACCCGTTGTGAAGGAGACTCTCAACGGTGGTGCTGGTAGTAATCGGAAGCCGCCGTTGAGCAGTGGAGGTAGCCGGGGCGATAATGATGGAGGTTGGGATAGTTGGGACAACGACGATTCCTTTAGATATTCGAGCGAGATAAGGAGGAATCAATCGGCGAGTGATTTTAGAGCAGGGAATTATCACGGTGGTGGAGTGGGAGGTGCACCAGTGAAGTCGAGGTCAAGTGATGATATGTATACGAGATCCCAATTGGAGGCTTCGGCGGCGAATAAGGAGAGCTTTTTTGCGAGGAAAATGGCAGAGAACGACTCGAGGCCAGACTGGTTGCCCCCTTCACAAGGAGGGAAGTATGTTGGTTTTGGATCGAATCCTATGCCTACCCAGAGGAATAATAATAATTCTCAAGGGGATGTGCTCTCTGTTGTGTCTCAGGTTCAGAAAATCTTTCATTCCTCGTCTTTCCCCTAATGGGGAGTGAAGTCTTTATGGTGATAATTGCCAGTTATTGATTAATTTGTGTGTTTGGTCCAGGGGATTGGGAGGCTATCTTTGGTAGCTCAATCTGCCGCAAATATTGTCCAAGCAGGATCCAAGGAGTTCACCTCGAAGGTATTTTCGGGGAATTTCTATTATGATTTCTTATTTGGTTGTTTTGATCTTCATTTAGATGCTTTGGCATTGTTTATCATTATAAGATTTTATAGATGATAATGTATTGTATGAATTGCACTGTGGTGTGAGTCCTTGAACCTTTTTTACATTTTTTTGGTACAAAGAAGCTTACAGCTAATCATTTTTTTTGTATTGGTTGATAAATTGTTTTTCTTTTATGACTTCTACAAAAGTGCATGATAAACTGTCAAATTCCACACTTAGCTATTTGATGGTACTTGAATAATATTTAAAAGGCTTATATCACAAATAAGTACCTAAAGCATATCTTCTTTAAGTACCTAAAGATATTTTGGTCAAAACAAATACCTAATGTTATCTTTTTGGTCAAAATAAGTACCTAAAGTATTTTATGTCAAAATAGGTACCTGAACTATTCAAATTTTTTAATCTAAGTTCTTAAAAAGTTGACATGTGACATTAATTAAAGATTACTTTAGGTACTTATTTTGATAAAAAATACTTTTGGTACTTGAATGAAATAGAGGATATGCTTTGGCATTGTTTATCATTTTAAGTTTACTTCTTAATTCTCTTGATTTCTTTGCTAATGTCCAAATTGAAGGAAAATTAGCGTCCACTACAATTCACCAGCTTTTCAGTTTTATGATTATTTACCTTTTCCGTGCGCTCTACTGCTCTTTTAAATATCAAATGCATTGTAAAGGTTTAGATGCTCCTTTAACTTGTTGGACTCTATATCAGTTCTAGTGAACATATACGAAGTACTGATTTTGGGGTAATTTTGCTTTAGAAACAATGCTGAGGAATATTAATTCTTTGAATTATTAATCCTCCTATTTTCTATTGTGCTAAACCATAGTAATCTGCAACCATTTACTTATTATTCTGCAAAGGAAACCGGTTTTCGACTTGAGGGTTCTTCTTTGTGGCCTTTAAAGTCTACATTGCATTCAAATCAAACTCACATGCCTGGGTTGATTCCTTGGGTGAAAGACATGCTGCTTTAGTTGTGGCATCTTGTTTTGGCTACAATTTTGACACTATAATTATAACTCGATGGGCTTTCTACCTTGCATTGCGACTTTTAAGGATATGGGGGATTTGGAATTACATACACAAGGTCATGATAGTTTTCCTCTTCCTTCCTTGGCAGGTGAAGGAGGGTGGTTATGATGCCAGGGTTAATGAAACTGTCACTGTTGTCACCGCAAAGACAAGTGAGATTGGCCAGAGGACGTGGGGCATCATGAAAGGGGTCATGGCAATGGCTTCACAGAAGGTTGAGGAGTACACTAAAGATGGCATGAATGGTGCGAGGAATGGATATTATAACGAGTTTAAACACGAGAGTAATGGATGGAATTCTACTTCTGGAGGACAATCCTCTTCTGCCGGTAATAATACTTCTTATAACTCAAGTTCTTGGGATGACTGGGACATGAAAGACAACAGGAAGGGAGACAATACAAAAGTGACTGCCTCTTATAGCAATGATGGTTGGGCTGGCTGGGATGATGCCATGGATGATGGATATGATAATTTCTATAACGGTTCATCTGATAAAAAAGCCTTCAGTCATAATGGAAAATCAGATTCCACATGGACTGGTGGCGGCTTCCTTTAAGGTTCATTACATATACATGCATGCATACATATATATCCTTAATTTTACATTATTTTAGGTTTATTGATCATGTTTTTGCAGAAGTTTCAACATTTTAAACGAACACAGTCTGATGTATGGCCCAATGTCCAGGTTGAACTTCAGGGATCAGAATTCTTATTTCTTACTTATCCGGAAATGTAACTAGTCACTAGAACACAATTTATTCCAGCTGGGGACAGCGGATGCAGGGGATATATAGCATTTATTATATCGTACTACAGCTGCTAAGAATCATTGTTTGCGAATCAGGGATGCTTTTGATGGAGTTGATAATTTCTTCTGTAAGTTTCGTGTTTGATGCAAGTTTAAATTTATAAAACTGTGGACAGAAGGTAATTTGCCCTATTTCAAAGAAAATTGCTTGTGCTTGTGACATTCAAAATCAAGATTGTTTGGATATATATGCCCAACTTTTGTTATTTTTGAGTTCCCTAGAGGTGAGTAAAATTCGGCTTAACTCAAAAAATTGATTTATTATCTCTTTCAATTTTGAGTTATTTGAGTCAACTCGAATTATCAAATCGGTTTGAGTTTGAATCGAGTTAAAATTTTGAGTTACTCAAAAAATTGAAAATTTGACTATGTATTTTTGATAATTTTACGATTTAGTCTTTGATTTTATTATTCTTTCCATTCTTTATTTTAAGTCTATTTTTATATAAATTTGAACTATATGATCTTAAACCATCGTATAATACATATGTACTTTTAATTCTTCTTTTTTGATAGCAAATTTTCTATTTTTAATTTAATCCATCATATTTTATAATTTTTTATTTCTTCAATTCATTTTTTTATTTAAGTCTATTTTTTTTACCAAATTTAAACCAAATGCTCATATAACACTATTGAATACTTTAACTTTAATTCCGATTTTTATTAAAAATGTACTCTCTCCTTTTTATTTAGACCCTTAATATTACATTTTATTTAATTTAATCTTTTGACTATAATTGTTTGTAATTTTTTTATTTCTATTGATTCTTTAACTCTTTTATATTCTCATCAATAATTTACCCTAAAAATAAAGCAAAAATATAATATTGTGGATATATTTTATAATTTTAGATTTTATTTGATATATTAAATAACATTATAATGTGAAAAGTATATGAAATATATATATCTTATATGTTGGAGAAAGTCAAAAAAATTAAAATCAATGCTTACCATAGTATTATAAATAATATACTAAAATTCGGATTGGAACTCGATTAACTCAACTTAAATTTTTTAAACTTGACTTGAAAAAGTTTTAAGTTCGAGTTGTCAACTTGAACAACTTAAAATTTATTAACTCAACTCGATCGAATGACCACCCTTGTTTAAATTTCTTATCCTTAACACGTACTAGAATTTATAGCCTAAAGAGCAACCCAACCCATTAACATTTTTATTTATTTACAAAAGGGCTGTTACAATATTTAACGGCCGGAAATTTTTTTGACTTCACATATTGTGTGACAGATGAAAATGCATGGATAATAACATTGACAAAACGGTGTCCACGGGGATTAAAGACGATTCTAATCGATTCACCAAAATCTAACTCAAAATTTGAATCGAGTAAGAACTTTGGACCCAAATGGTGGACCAGACTAAACCGGTTAGCTAGTAGAAGCTTGAACTAGTTAGTTAGACTGAACCGGTTGGCTTGTTCAAAGCATGCACATGCTTTCCTAACAAACTTTGAATCAATTGAAGACTCCACTGTGAACGTCCAAAAATCAGTGCCCCATATGTCACCATCGACAAAATAATTGATGCATGCAAATCCATAGCGGCCGACAAATCCATCCAAACTAATTTCGGTTCAATAGGCAATGGATTACAAATCACAATTCATATAACTTGGTCGACAAAACCCTTATCTGGAAAAATAATTTCCGGAACAGACAGAAATGGTGACAGATACCATGCCTTTCCTCAATGCCAACAACCCTTGAATCGGTCCAACAGAAGCTTTGCTAATACTTGCTTCCACAAGCAGCAGCGACGCAGGAAGTTTCACCACTGATCGTTGAACCGGTGATGGATAAAAAAACCTCCTCAACACCATCTGAAAAAGTCCTGTATACACCCAACAAAGCCGTAATCACCTCGACAATTTCCTTACGCATGTCATCCCAACGACAGTCATTGCTGCGCAGATATCCTTGAGATCGTTTTAAGGCCGATTTTGAATCTCTCAAAAATGATTTCATTTTGGACTCCAACGTTGCAAATATCTCCCAAAAACGAGCAACCTTCTCCTCTAAGAGCATTGGTCGACATTCCATTACAGACATATCACCCATTAATGAGAGTCGGTAGGCAAATCAAAAGGGGAAAAACAAAAAACAAAAACAATGGTGTATTACAAACGAAACAACATCTAAAATCTAAAAAAAATAACAAACAGCGGCTCTGATACGTTTGTAATGGTTTAAACATAAAAAGAAGAAATATTATAAAGGAAAACATAATAAAGTAGAAAATAGACTAAGAACAATAGGGAGCAGAAGAGAAATAGAACGCAACAAACAGAAGAAAATCAAGCAATTTCATTCATGATATAATTCTTTTCCTTAACCTTGACATATACTAGAATTTATAACCTAAAGAGTAGCTCAGAACATAGCCTATTAATATTTTTATTTATTTACAAAAATGCTCGTTATAATTTTAAATAAAATATTAATTTAATATTTTTAATTTAATTCTTAAACTCTCTCCAATTCTTCTTTAACTTATATTGTTGCTTATTATCGATGTCGATCCTACTATAGGAGAGTTGAGTGACCTTCTCCACATCTCTCTCTCTCTCGTTACCTTATTGTCGTTGTACAAGTTCTTCTTGACATAGAATCTAAAAGTTTCACTAATTTGATCACAATCTTGACCATCTTCATCTCTCTCTCTTTACCCTCAATGTGGTTGTACAAAATCTTCTTGACATTGGATCTAAAAATTTCACTCATTTGATCAGTCTTGGAGAGGTATGGACAAGTCATGGCAAAACTTTGCTCTTGTCAAGATAAACATGTTAAAAATGAGCAAAGTTCAACTCGACTCGAATTGACTCCACTTAAAAAAAAAATTCAAATTTGAGTCGAGCTATAAAATAAAACTTGAATAACTATAAAATTTTAATAATTAGTAGCTTGGTTTTCAAGTTTGAGTCGAGTACTTCAACTATGTATGATATATGTATATCACATATGAAGATATATATATATATATATATATATATATATATATATATATATATATGGTTATAAAATATCGTTTAAATTAGAATAAAATAGTAACGTAATATTATAAATACTTATAATTAAATTTAAATAGAAATTCAAACAATTCTAATCGACTCGAAAAAATTCAAATAAAATTTGGATTATAGAATAGAACTCATCAACTCAAATAACCTAAAATCTTTTAACTTGACTCGATCGATTGTCAACCCCTAAACCGGGCTATACTCATAGCTGAGGTAAGTTCATATTTGAAGAATAATGTACAAATGACAGAGAGGCATGATCATTGATAGGATGATGGGGTTATCGTCTGACATCGAACTTGGCCAATGTGAGATGAGTTTTCTCTTCAGAAAAAAACATTGAACAATTTCATATACTTGATCCATGGGAGTATTACCAATAAATTCAGCTTAATTTAGAGGCTGCTGAGTCAAAGCTTACTCTAGTGGAAGGTGAACATGTTCTTGGTGAAAACTGCCAAGTTAAAAGCATTTAAAATATGTGGCTAAATAATTAGCTAAGAGGAAGATGTTAAAACCAAATCATAATAAATATGAAAATTAAGCATAATTTAATTATGTCAAATCATCAAGAATAAAATACTAGATGCAGAAGCACACATGAATTAATTGATAAGTTGAAATCCTTGCATTTTTCTTTGGTTGTAATCATCCAAGAAGATAAAATTCTTTTAAGTATAAACTCTTTGAAGGTGATAAGAAAAAAATACGAGATTATCTATTTCTTGGTGACCATAACCCCTTTTATATAGCTGATTAATAATAAATTATTATTTGTACTTATAACTCTTCTCCTCATCAAATTATAAATACAACTTTAATAGTATGAACACTTTTATTTCCTTGACACTTCTAATACCTTATGACTTTATAACGTAATTGGTCACTTAATTTATGTCATATCTTATGATAACAATATACATTATTAATAAGTGCACATAATTATGGATTTTAATATGACAATCTCCCACTTCGGCAACATATGTTTCGTGATAAATGTATAACCTTATGAGCTCAAAATTTGTTATCATACAATATGTAACGCCTCGGGTTCTAGGTTTATAGTCTCGGGTTAACTCAAGTGGGTTTAGATAAAATCCATTAGCATAATAGAGGAGCTTGGGCCAAGTGAGCTTTGGGTTGGGCTTGGGTTTGACCCAACATGTAATAAAAAGGGTGTTTATAATTTGGAAACAAACTCATGAGGATCAAAAGAACAATTTCACCACTCAAGATTTTAAAAGATGAAATCTTTTATTGTGATGACATCACATTGTTCCCTTTTTCCCCCTCATTATTCCTTATCTTTTTCCTTTTCCTCAATCTCTTCATTCTTCCTCCCGAAGAATCAAGCAAAGATTGGAACTTGATAACTAGCAATCCCAATACATTTTAGTGAAGGTAAGAATCAAAACCAACATCTTTAGAGCTTCCATTTGAGCCCAAAAAGTTAAGCTTTGGTCATGGTTTTCACATAAGGGGCTTAGTGGGGGTTTTAGTAACCTTGTGAAATCAGTCCATTTTTTTAAGGATTTCAAGTCTTAGAAATGGTTTGTAATCTCTTCTAAACTTCTAGAACAAGTTAGTAATACAAGTGTTTGATTCTTGTCTAGGGAGAGAAATTGGAGAGACCTCTCAAGCTAAGGGAAAAGAGAAGCTTACCTTAGGTTAAGCCTTGAGCACTTCCAACAGCTTAAGAAACAAAGGAAACTCACTTCAGACTCAACTATACCATATGTAGGTTAATTAAATGTGTTTAATAAGTTGCATGAATTAAGTAACATTTTTCATGGTATAAATCAGAAATCAATGTTTGCAGCATGTTTATAGCCCTTTATGACCCCTTTCATCATGCATCAGACTTTAAAAACAATTGGGGCCCTTAGTATGGCTTTTAAGAATGGAAAGGTTGCATTTTTCATGTCCAAACAAGGTATTTTCGAGTGAGGGTATCGGTACTAGAAGAACAATATTGACATTGTTCCTAAAACAAAGGGTAAATTCAATAGGGAGTATAAATACACATTCAAGGAGTATCGATAATGCATGGTTAGTCTCGATACCCATGAGGTAGTATCGGTACCGA